CATAAGATCCTTGTGTATCTCTTCACTCCAGAGGTGACTGTTATCCAGACTTTTGAGGTAATAAGTTCCTTCTTTTTAGTTCTAGTTTTACCACTTTAATCACAAGTGTAGATATACTGTACGTATTTTTCTTTAGATCCTGCTTCTTTTGTTTCCTATGTTTTTATGTGATATTTATTTACATTTGTTGCTGTAGGTTTTGTGTTGCTGTGTCCTATTACATTTTATGGTGTACAGTTTACTTATTCCTCTGTTGGTGGACATATGGGTTCTTTCTAGTTTTTGGTTCTACAAAGAATGCTGCTATATGTATAAATGTTTTTGTGCATGTCTTCTACTTTATACATGCCTGAATTTCTCAGGAATTTACATCTGGGGAAAGAATTGCTGATTATAGGATGTGGATATTTTCAGCGGGCTGTTTTAGAAAGTGGCTATGTCAGTTGGTTAGCCATCAATAGCATATGAACATAGGGATTAATGATTCTCCCTTCTTTTAGCTGGTGGAGGCTGTAACTCACCCTAGGCTTCTCATAGGCATCAGTAGTATATAAGAGTGTGGCCTGGGGAGTTAGACTGTGTGGGTTTGAATCCACCATTTAGTACTGAGACCTTGGCTAAGTAACTTGACATTTTTTTTTTAACCTCTTCCAAGTGGTAATATTTTCCAGTTTGTCTTTTGGCATAGGGTGATGGGGTATCTTCAAATTATTTCATTGAATAGACTGCCTGGTTGGGGTTCATGAGAATTTGTTACATGTATATATATATTTTTTTGCAAAAATTTGCTTTTTATTTATTTGTTTATATAATTAAGTGTATTCTTGAACATTTTGGTTTTCAGATTACTAGGACCATATCACTTATTACTTCTGTATCTATCTGTACAATGCCTTATATTTTCTAAAGCATTCACGTTTTTTTTTTTTCTGACTTGATCCTTACAGTAGTTCTGTTAGGGAAATAAACTGACTTGTTTCCATTTTGGAGGAGGAAACTGAGGCCCAAGTAGGATTTGGTGACTTGTCATAGTCACTCCATCTTTGCATTAGGTCCAGGGCCTGTACTCAGGTGCCTTTTGAAACTCCCATTTAGTTTCTTTTAGTTCAGTGACTCTGACTTATGTAAATGAGTCTTGAAAAACAACAGGTTTTCAAACACTTTAGAATTGGAATGTATCATCTTTACTATTTGCATGTTTAACCATAACTGGAAGAAATTATATTGTCTGTGATATTACATTTGTGCTTGTTTTCAGGGAGTGCAGCCTGCCACAGGTGAAGTTGTGTTCGATAGTTTCCAGGACTCTCCTTCCCGTTCCGAGCTGGAGACTCGGATATCAAGCCTGCAGCCGGTGGAGCTGCTACTTCCATCAGACTTGTCAGAGCAAACAGAGATGCTCATTCACAGGGTCACTGCTATTAGGTATGTTGGCATGCTATTTGAAGATAATGATTCTGAAACTGATTTACTGACAAAGCCAAACTTGTTAAAGTTGTTAAAAATAGTTTATAATTATAAAAATTATATTTCAATGTAACTTAAAAAATTTCATATTTCAGCTTTTTTCAAAATTCTATTTCAGAATTGTATTTCAAAGTAATGGAAATTTTCAAAAGAAAATTACCCGTACTGTCTCTTTAATGTAAGACTATAAAAATGATCATTTTAAAAGGGCTTCTGATATTACTTAATGCTATTGTTTGGTAATTAAGGGGCTTATGATATTATTTCAGCATATTGTTTGGTAATTTTCAGTTTCTGGAGATAGGATTCATTTTTTGGAAATCTTACGTAGTTTTGAAAATGCTTTCTTTGTGCTTTATTTTTTTTTTGATTTTTTTTAAAATTTTTATTGTTGGTTGTTTAAAACATTACATAGTTCTTGACATATCATATTTCACACTTTGATTCAAGTGAGTTATGAACTCCCATTTTTACCCCGTATATAGATTGCAGAATCACATCGGTTACACATCCACTGATTTACATATTGCCATACTAGTGTCTGTTGTATTCTACTGCCTTTCCTATCCTCTATTATCTCCCTTTTTGTGCTTTAAGTTTCAGTTCAGTGCTGCATCCAGTAGTGTCCAGTAGTTTTATTTACAAGATCTAAGGTCACATGACTTATATATGAAATGGTGTAATGGGCACTGTGGCCGTAGAGGAAGAAAATGAGTTTATTATATGTGTCTGGCACAGTTGACAACCCAGTAGGAGAGGCAAATGTGTACATATCTAACTGGATTCGTGAGGAATGATACGTTACGTACCATTGAGGAGGATTCTATACTGCCACTGTGGAGCAGTGGTGAAGACCAGCAGTGGTGGTAAAGAGACCAAAATTTTGGGCTGGGGCTTGAATGAAGAGGAAGTTGTATATTGAGGAACTGGACTTTAGAATTAGACAAGGAAGCCCATAAAGATTTTCATTTAGTAAGTCGACAAAACAGTTAGAAAATCAAACTGATTTATTATTTTAGCTGTATTTTATTTGCTGAAACAAAGTATTTCACATCTGTCGTATATTATTTTTGTTTTGATTTTATGTGTCTCCAAATGTCAAACTGATTTATTAAGTGAAGTTCCATATGTTTCTTTGTCCTTAAAGTTAAGAGTGTTCATTCTATTTAAATGTAACTTCCAACAAAGTAGCTTTCATAATTTGTTTTTTGATTATAACACAGTCATATGTTCATTTAGAAGTTAGGATTTACAAAAAAGAAAGATAAAGTAATTCAAAATTGTAAAACTCAGAGATAACTATATTTTAGTGTATTATTTCTGTATACGTATACCACTTTTTTCATTAATGAACTTGGATTTGTATGGCAAAATCACTTCGGTATCCTTTTTTTCTTTCTTTTTGAGCCAATCCTGAGTAATTTATTCTGACATGTGTCAAGGAACATTGAAGAAAGAGCAGATCTGTGAAGCCCCAGAAGCTTTTTTTTTTGTGTGTTTTTACTTTTTAAAAATTTTAAATTTTTAAAAAAATTTATTTTAATTAGATATATATGACAACAGAATGCATTTGATTCATTGTTCACATTGCAGCACAACTTTACATTTCTATGGTCGTACACGATGTAGTGTCACACTATATGTGCAGTCATACATGAACCTAGGTTAATGATATCCATCTCATTCCACCATTTTTCGTATCTCCGTGTCCCTTCCCTACCATTCCTTCCCCATGCCCGATCAAAGTTCCCCTGTTTTTCCCTTGTCGCCCCCATTATGGATCATCCACTTATCAGAGAGAACATTCAGTCGTTGTTTTTTGGAGATTGGCTTACTTCACTTAGCATGATATTCTCCAACTCCATCCATTTACCTGCAAATGCCATAATTTTATTCTCTTTTAATGCTGAGTAATATTCCATTGTGTGTGTGTGTGTGTGTGTGTGTGTGTGTGTGTGTATCACAGTTTTTTTTTTCCATCCATCTATTGAAGGGTATCTGAGTTGCTTCCACAGTTTTAACTATTGTGAATTGAACTGCTATAAACCTTCATTAAACAAAGAAAAAGTCAACAAATAAAAATATCAAAGCCCTAGAAAAAGAAGAAAAAAACAACCCCCAAAGTAGTAGAAGACAGGAAATAATTAAAATCAGGGTGGAAATCAATGAAATTGAAACAGAAGAAACAATTCAAAAAATTGACAAAAATATGGTTCTTTGAAAAAATAAATAAAATTGACAAACCCTTAGCCACCCTAATGAAAAGAAGGGAGAAAAACTCAAATTACTAAAATTTGTGATGAAAAAGGAAATATCATAACAGACACTATTGAAATATAGAAGAAAATTAGAAACTATTTTGGTATCCTTTTTTTTTAACTTAAAAGCTTCCCATATCTTTTGTTTATTTTGGAAAACTTCAAACATACGAAATTATTCAGAATAGTGTAGTAAACGCTCATGAACCCATCAACTAGCTTTACCATTTCTCAATTCGGAGCTTGTCTTATTTCATCCATCTCTCTCTCTGGTTAATTTATTTTGAAGTAAATCCTAGTAAACATTATTTTATCTGCTAATATTTCAGTAGGTACTCTTGAAGGCAAAATGATTGCACAACATTTAGTTATGTAGATAGCTCATCATTTATCCATTTCCCTTTTGTTATGTTGTAATCATTTTTTTTCAGTATTACAAATATTGCTGTGATGAATATCTATGCAAATATTTCTGTATGTGTGGTGCATCTTTATTTCCTTAAAATGAATTCCTGAAAGTAGAATTTCTAACTCAGGGGGTGATAACTATATATTTATAAAGCTCTTGATTACTTTTTAGAATTAATAATATTAATTTATATTTCCACCAGTATAGCACAAGAGGGTTCATTGAACCCATGCCAACATTGAGGGTGATAATTTAAAGATTTTTAACCTTTCACATAGGTAAAAAATTCCACATCAGGTCCCCTAATTTTGTTCTTAATTCTTTTCTGTGTTCAAACTTGAATGATTAAAAATCATATAGTAAAGTTACAAGGGGTGCTGCTTTTGGAGAGCTAAAAGAATTAATCAGATCTCTACTTTTTATTTATAAGACTAGTCTTCTAGAGCTATATTTTCAGTATTTCACATTTGACTTCTTTTTTTTTAATAATTGAGTATTTATTTGATTTAGGCTAATAGAAATTAAATTTGATCAGTTGCATTATCAGGCTCATTTTCTCTCTTCTACTTATTTCTTCAAAATAATAAAGACAAAATTCAGTACAATGTCAAAACATCCCACAATGAAGACATTGCCAAAACTGAATTTTTGTTTAACAAGAACCATTGCCTAGTGATATTCATAAATGTCCATTTATCACATGAGATACCAAAGCCTGAATTTGGAGACATTTTGGATGTCATATATGAGTTTTACCAAATTTAATGATTTCATCTGTCTTGTTTTGATTTGTATTTCTTTGGTTAGCACTGAGAGTTTATATTTTTTCCTCTGTTTAATGACCACATGTAAGTGCTCATTCCTTTGCATACTTTGTTTATTTTAGTTTCATTTGACTAAACAGCTAAAAGTTGGTGTTTCTGTGGAGTGCCTATAGCTAATTTATATCTGTGGACAGAGTGGAGCAGTGGAGATTGAAGAATCATAGGGTCAAACAGTGCAGACTCCTGTAACATAGGATTAGGTTGGAAAACTGATCTTCCCCTTAGTGACTAAGTAAATAACTCAACAGTATTGCCCTTTATTGTTCTTTTCTGGGTGATAAGTGTGCTTACCTTATGGGATTGTTGTACGGATTAAATAAGTTAATATGTTAAAGGTAAATCAGTCCTTATCTCTTTTAACATTGTCTCTCTCCTGTTCACTCCTGGAACTCTGTCATATGTTTTTTAGACCTTCTTATTTACTCTCTGTGCATGATTCTTTATGGTCTAATTGTATAAGTCTCCATCTATAGCTGTTTTTTTAATATCCTTTTGAATTTTTCTCCTTCAAAATTAAAAGAATTTTGACTCGTCTTTAAATTTTTTTTATTATATTTGAGTTTACTGCTTCTGCATTGATTTTAATAGACTGTCTGGACCAGTTAAGTCCTCCATGCCTCTAATCATATTCCTTTATTTTTATACTTAAAAAGTTCACTCCCCATACTGAAAGTACTTCATTTTTATTTTCATCTATATTTCACATTAGTCACTTTTTCTTTGTTTTACTTTACTCTGTGAGGTAAAATCTTACCATAATTCCCCCACTAAATACTAGTGGTTTCAGTTAACATCCATGAAATTTAGCTTTAGCAACCTGAGCTATAATTCCTAGACGTATTTTTTTAAACAAGATAATTTAGCCAGTTGCATAGGGAATACTTTTATTTAGGTATGAAGAAGATAACTCTAGAATTCTGCATGTTTATTACCAATAAATAATATAGCATTGAATTTTCAAATATAAAAGAATTTTTGTTTTTGGCAGTATCCTAGAACCCTCTAGAATCCCCTTTTTTCTTCTTCAGTATACATAAAGGTAAAAAGAAGTTTTCATCAATTACTGGTTGATATTTTGTTAATATTGAAGACATTATATATTAATGCTATGTGAAAAAGACAAAAGAAATTGAATATCCTGAAGTATTAGCTTTTTTTTTGGGTAATCTTAACATTTACCACAAGAGGTCTCCAAAGGATTTTATATCTATGAATGGCAATTTAAAAGACTACTAAAACTTTACTTCACATTTGTTTTCTATCTTCAGATATAGACTTACTTAATTTACCATTTTTTAAAAAAATATTTATTTTTTTGTTATAGGTGTACACAGTACTTTCATTTTATTTTTATGTTGTGCTGAGGATCGAATCCAGTACCTCACACATGCTACTCTACCTCTGAGCCACAACCCCAGCCCCTAATTTACCTTTTTAATGCCAGGGATTGAATCAGGGGCACTAAGC